TTTAAAACTAGGTGACATATTTTGAAATATGAAAAATGAAAGATACTGCGGTGAGTGTGGATCGGACATGCGACCTTCAAATCTTCAGTCTGACGCTCTCCCAACTGAGCTATCCCCGCAATGTGTGAAGAAAACTCGATGTTATTATTACGTAGGATTGTAATTGAAAAACTTTCTACACATACATGCACTTTTCTTTTTTTCTTTTGTTTTTTTTTTTTTAAGGAATCATACCTCCACTATTAAAACATAAAAAATGTTAGGAAAAAATTTATATATAATTTATAACTAAATTATTTATTGGCCAAAAATATCTAGCTAAACAGAGTTAGAAAGAATTTGTCGAAGAAAGGGACATAAAAGATACAAAGAAGTATTGAAATATGGATTGTATTATCTTCTCCATTATATAATGGCTTTGGCAACGAATGTGTTTTTTGGCATCGTGCCTCCACTAGCTAGTTTACGCCTTTTTCCTTCCAAGAGACCGATGACACGGACCCCAAGATGATAGCAGCTGTAGGAGCTATGTGGAGCCAAAACGAGAATGAAAAAGACCCAGGAATGAAAATGGTTAAAGGTAGGCTGTAGGGACCTTTTGGTCGATGAGGCAATATAAAAAAGAGTTGAGGAATATGATTCATCAAGAAAACCAAATTCTAATTACAATATCTTTTCCAATGTGTACCAACTTAATACAAAGGTCATTTTCTTATAGAGATAACAAAATAAAGCCACTATAGAGATGAGTTGTTCTCCAACGACAAGAAGCAAAGCAATTATATCAAACCTTAATGTCTTCACTTCAGCAAATAAGGTAAAGAATACAGTAAGTTTGTTTTAAAGATTGTTTGGATAAAGGTTTAGTGAAAATGTTGGCTACTTGCTTTGATGAAGGAAAAAACTTGGTGACTAAGGAACCAAGTGCAACCTTTTCTCGTACAAAATGATAGTCAATTTCAATATGTTTGGTGCTAACGTAGAAGACAAGATTAATGGACACGTGGAGGGCTGTTTATGCAAAGGTCTGTACAACGACACTTTACGAACCTAGCTCGAACCCGGTCTCTGGTTTGACCTGAACACAAGAGTGGACCTGCACAAGAGAGTAAACACTCCGCGCTCAAGTCAGTATAGGTCGGACTCCGTATTTAGTTCGAGGTGAGATTCTATACCTGAGCGTGAAATGAGGCCTTCTATTTATAGGTGGGGGATCCGACAGTACACACGACCGGCGGTTACATGTTTTTTTTCATGTCGGACCTGTCGGGTTCCGAGTAGATCGAACCCCAATCAGATCGAACTTTGGCATGTATACTTAGCCTGTTCCCAATGGGTGAACCCGACCTCTTCGGCAGGTTCGAGGTGGACCTGGGACACTTAATCCTTGAACACCAGTAAGCGTCCTCCACGTGTCCGAGGTATTTTTACCCCCAAACATTGGCCCCCTCTCTGTCAGGTTCGATCTCGACCTGACAGAGAAGTTTATCCAACTTGATTTTGAACATGTGGCGACTTCTAATTCGTAGAGAGAATATGACCGTTGTGGAAGACGTTTCAATCTGCCAAGCTGTCGGAGTACTCAAGTATTCCGTCGTTACGGATCTCGAGATGATCCTAGCCGCTTGTTCATTACACATGTACGGTGCAGTTTTTCCGATTAGCTATAAATAGTTCCGAGACTTCAGGTCAAACCTTACGTTCCCTGAATTTCTGGAGTTCGACCTGAAACCAACTCGAACCTTCCGTAGGTCAGTCATTCTTGTTTTACTCTTTTCAAATATGGTAGTTTTCATGTCTTCCCCTTCTAATAGTGATAGTTTAGGTATCGCAGGTCGGACTATAAGCAGTTCGCCCCCCAAACCAAATGATTCTGGGGAGGACTTAGCTCTTAGGTTAGAGTCTGAGCTTGAAGAGATAGAGAACTTTAGGTTTTCTGATGATGAGGAGGATAGTGACACTTCCACCTCGGGCCAGGGTTTGGAATACCCTTCTAAAATGCCCGAGCACTATCTCGGACCCCTCCGTAGGGGGTTTAAAATTCCAAACGATATCCTCCTTAGAATTCTGGAGGAAAGGGAAAGAGCTGACAATCATCCAGAGGGATGGGTCACTCTTTACTTAAAAATGTTTGAGTACGACCTCAGACTTCCTCTTCACCCCTTTGCCCAGGAGTTCCTAAATCGAACTGGTCTGGCTCCTACTCAAGTGGCCCCCAATGGATGGGGTGTCATTTTTGCCTTGGCCATTCTTTTTTGGTTGCGAGCTCGGGATGAGGACGAAGCCGAGCTACTAAATGTTGACCAGCTTCTTGGGTGCTTTGAGCCCAAGAGGATAGCCAAGAAGCCAGGTCGATATTATATGTGCGCAAGGAAAGGCGCAGGAGGTATAGTCAAGGGGTCGACCTCCATCAAAGGATGGGTAGGGAAGTGGTTCTTTCCCTCTGGGGAATGGCTGGCAAATGACGAATCCGGTCGTCCCTTCTTTGACGTGCCTGTTAGGTTTGGGAACCTAGGTATGAGGTCGTTATGTTCACTTCTCGCATCTTTAAATCTCTTCGTTCCAACTTTATCGTATCTAACTTGAATTCTTCTCGGTATTGTGCAGTATCAATCAAACCGATTCTCGAGCTCGCTCAAGCCACCTTCGACACCCTCAAGCACAATAAGGATCAATTCCCAAGGGGCCGGAAAATCGGGACCTTGGTAACTGACAAACTGCTCCTTGAATCAGGGTTGTTAGACTACAACCCCTTGGTGCGTCCGGTTGAAGCTTCAAGGCCAAACTCCGAACTCGGTAAGTCGAGCTCGACCTTACTTCAATTATTTTAATTTTTGTTTCTGACTTTTTGTTTTACTTGCCTTGCAGCAATGGTGTGTGGATTCTCCAGCAACGTGAAACGTAAATCCAAGGGCCGTGCACACGCCCTAAAGGCTGTTCGGAATACGGAGCCAACGATCCCCGTCGGGGCTCAGCCTGTGGCTCAAGACACTGCTGGGCCATCTTCCGAAGTCTCAACTCCGGTGGTCGAGTTGGAATCTGCTGGGGAGCACTCCAGAGAGAAGCACCCAAGGGATGAGTCGGAGGCGCTGGACGTGTCTCCTCTGAACGAGGTGAGGGGAGAGTCCCCTTTGAAGAAGAGAAAGAAGAAGAAGAAGACTACCTCCTCCTCGGAGGTTGAAACTCGTGGGCCCCTGCTCGCGAGTCACGTCAAATTGGTGGACGACCCCGAAGCTCGGATGGGGGGGACATTTGATGTAAAGATGCGGTTCAGAATTGAACCGTCAAGCTCCAGGGTGAAGGACCAGGTGTCCTATATCTCGGCTGCATGCTTGGACCGCTATTTGAGGAGAGCGTCCAAGTTTGTAAGCGATCCAGGGTCCGTGTTTCAAAGGACCATTGACCACGTCGTCGAGGTAAGACCTACTCCTACATTTGGTTTTATTTTTCCCAACCTGTGGCATAGTCTAACCTTTGTTTGCTCTCTGTGTATTGCAGGCGTTCACCGCTTCCACCCATTCAGCAGTTATGATCAAGGCCGAACTGGATGGAAGAGAAGCTTTGGCAGCAAAGGAGAGGGAGAACTCCTCTGCTGCCATAGAGGCTGCCACCATGCTGAAGGGCGAACTGCTGAAGGCCTGGAGCGAGGTGGATATCTTGAAGGCTGAGGTGGAAGCCAAGGCCGAGCTACTGAAGAGGGAGGATGAGAGGCATAAGACCCACCTTCGAGCTGCCCACGCTATCACTAAAGGGCTGGAGAAAGAGGAGTTCCAACTCTTAAAGGAGAAAAACAAAATGCTCCAGGCCCTCGAGACGAAGGACGCTGTGATAGGGCGCCTCACTGCCGACCTCAAGGTGGAGAAAGAACCTTCACCAACGGAGTTCTTCTGGAGGAAGCGTTCAGGCACCACCTTGACTTTGATGGGTTTGCCAAGGACTTCAGCGACGCAGGCTTCAAATTTCTGATGAAAGGCATTGCTGCTGATATGCCCCACCTCCATATTGACCTCGGCGATCTGAAGAAGAGGTATGCTGAGAAATGGGCCTCCGGTCCTGACCGTACTCCTGGCCCCCAGTCCCTGGTGGACAAGTATGCTATGGAGCTGGACTCTGACTACTCCGAAATGGAGGATGAAGACGCTTCAAGTCAAGAG